TTGGCTTACTTGAAATCAGGATGCATTTCTGAACATGGAAGCTATGGAAATGTAGCTCTCATATGTCCCACTGCAGGGAGCATAACTGACTTACAGCCCCAGCTGTTAAGTCTCTGAGTGTGCCCCCATATTTATGCCAAGGTCATGCTGTGACCTGTTCTTGGCCAGTGACTGAACTTGGCAAGGATATGCAGGCAGGGCTGTCTCTGTGACTTGCAAGTGACTCATCAAAACTTAGAACTGGCCTGAAGAAAGTTATTCTAACCCAAGCTTCCTTCCTTCCATCTTCCCTTCACTGAGTTCAGACCAGCATTGCTGTCTGGCAGCTCTCCCAGAATCCTCCATCTATCTCCCCATTTTCACTGGCAGGTATTTTCCTCAACAAATATCTGTCATGTCAAATCCTAGACCATTGCTATCTCTCAAAGGACTGCAACTAACATATTACATGAGCATGGTTTATTTTTTGCATGAACTAGTAATATTATTGTCACTGATCAGTTTTTCGTGATATTCTCACCCTTTTCTGAACTTCCTGTTCTTTGTGTTCCCATTGAAACATGGTTTTATAGACATTTATTGCCCTTGCTAAATGACAGTAAGTTAAACTTGTGTGTGTGTGTGAACTCTGTGAAGGGAGGGAATTTAAGTCTTCATTCAGCATGAATGCCTGGACTATAACCAGAACTCAGTAAGTATTTTTCAACAAATGTCTACATAAAAATGAAATTTTCTAAAGTAATTAGTGAAAAAAATGCACCTAGGAGAAGATATAAATCTCTTAAGACATAAAATGTGCCATATATTTAGATTCTCTAAACTTCCTTTTTCTACACAGCAAAATATTAATGAAACAAAGAAAACAGGAACAAAATGTTTAGCTAGTGAACACAGTTGAAGGTACTGGATGCATTCACTAAATGTACCATATGAATTAAAAAATGGAATGCTGTAATTCATTCTAAAGAAATAAGTTTATTTTAAATGTCATATCTATTTGAAATGCACAAGTGAAAGAGTCTTAGGAGTAAAGTAGTAAAAGAGGATTCTGAGTAAGACAGCAGCAGGAATGATTCTGAGCATTGGCTCAGGAATGAAAATTCAAGACGTATCTCATACATCTGATTAGAAGGTCAAGATTGCTTTGTCCACAGTGAATTGTATGCTTCCAGAAGGACTGTGATAGCAAGTCCCAGTGATGAAGATGGTCAGTTATCAAAAATGTTCGAAATGCCGAGGGTTAAAACTTCATAAGGCATAGATAAAACCATGAGGTGACTGGAGTCATTCAGAAAGTTGATTCACAAAAGCATGAGCTAAAGGCTGGTTAGTAACAAGATGACCGGCAACTCCTGGAGGAAATGTAAGTTGGGGAGCAGAAGTTGGATCCACAGCCCAGAGACTGGAAGCCAGTATTTCCACAACCAAAAGACCCAATGCCAATATTGCCAAACCCTAGAGATCCAGTGTAAGTTGTCTGGCAGGGACGGTGGAAGAGGAAATTCTGTGGATGGGAGCAGGATGTCTGGAAAGATCTGGTCACAGCACAGGGTGTCTGGAAGCTGATGGGCCTAAAGAAGCTCTCCTGACAGCCACCGCAGAGAGTGGAGCCCAGCTGGAAAGTGCTGGGGGAGTAGGTAACACAGCTGGGGTAGAAGGACTCACAGGTGGAAACTGGGACCCCCAAGTAACCTCCAAGGGAACGGGAGGAGAAGTTTCCTGTGCTGCAGTTGAAAGACATGTTGTCTGTCGGGAGTTCTGAGTTCAGCTGAGTTGCACAGGGAAGTTTGTGACTGTGAATGTTATACCTTCTACACCAGATACTTAAATACTCTAGCAATGGGTGTAATAACATGTGTTCATTTTAATAAGAACGCTTAATTAGGCTCCAGTCAAAATGAAATGCATTAACCTTCAAAGACCTTTTTCATGATTACAGACTTTTAAATGAAAGAATTTCATTAGATTTTCAAAGCAGTTGTTCATGAAGCAAAAATGTTATTTCTCATTCATCTAGCTTGGGTAGGTGACTCTGATTGCACCATAATTGTACCTATAAGATTGGGGTTTTATTCATCCTATCCTTCAAGATAGTGTATTGAGTGGGTAACACAGTGAGAACTTCATTGTATTTAAAGCTCTAAAAAGTACTTTGTAATAAGGAGGGAACATTCATTTTGTTCCAAGTTTAGAAATAGAGGGGGGAAAAAAAATCAATATCTGTTTTACATGCCAAATCTTGTTTACTTTATAGAAAAAATAACCCACTTATGATCCTTAATTGGTAAAAATGTTAAATGAGCATCTAACACATTTATGTTCTAGTCTGCTTATAGCATAGGTACCCAAGCTGCTCTTGTATGTGTGAGTTTTTGATTTAAGAATAAGGGCTCCATATTTTCAGCAGCGCTTTGAAGTTTCCATTGTAAAAATGCTTAAGAAACCCTTATTCTGAAGTTGACTTGCTTCTTGAGAGATCACATCAATAAATTTAATTTTCAAAAAAAATCTCCACATAAAGTTAAAGTCATTTTTAGTGGTGTTGACATCATTCAGAACAAAATAATAAGCTCTATACATTAAAAAAATGAACCTTTAGTCCCTTAGTTTTCTCTCATATGGTGGGATTTTTACCAAAGAAAGTAAGTAAAATCAAGAAGTAAGAAAAATGCCTACTACCTGTAAACTTCATAGAAAGATCAAATTAAAAAAATTCATAATTACAAATGACCTTTGTAGATTGAAATGAGGGTAGAGAGTACTAAAATGAATGCTAATACCAAAAAGAGAATGAATCCTTTTGAATTTACCTCTGATGTGGTAAATATATTCAATTTTATGGATATATATAATTATAAATCATATATAGTTTTATTTATATATTTTTCACAGAGAACTAATACAAGTATTTTTTCTAGACTCTCCCATAAAGTTCATCATTGCTAACTGTAAACAGAGCAGCACATGTGTACAGGGAACAGCTTAAAATAAACTGTGGTGATGGGCAAATCTCTTAAGACATCCATCTTCAAAAACTGATATATTATCCAGTGGAAACGAGCTGAGACTCATTCTATGAAGATTTGAGATTACTAAATGGAAGTTTTTAGGAAAGATTCAACTGAGAATCTCAAATAAGTTACTTTAGCGGGTAATTGAGATGTCCATCTTGGGGGCATGTATTAGATATCCATCTGATAAGATATTGTAAATGGGATTCCAATGTGGCAGAGTACTGGAGGTAACTGCTAAACTCCCTTCTAAATTCTAGACTTTATGGCTTTGAATGTTTCAGTACACAAATTGATCTTCAGTCATATTCCATATATTTGGTAGGTAACATAGCTTGTGCTCTGTTTCTAAAATAAACAATTCTTATTTATCAGGCTTCTTAATTATGAATAGAAAATTGCTTTCTAGTAGATTCCAAACCTTCCTGTTTTGTTCATAATGTCAAAGCATCCATATAAATATTTCACTCAGCTAGATTGAATTTGCTTGCTTCAATATCATCCACTCATATAGGCTATTTCTGTAGAAGAATATTCTATGAGATAAGATATTAAATAATACTGAACATTCTTTTCTCAACAAAATGGAATTTTTTGGCCACAAGTACTTTGTTCAAAGGTAGAAGGGAAATGTTTTTTTTTTCTATGATATGAACAAATCAAATAGCGCAGAAGCCACAGGAAGATAAAGCTTCTCAATCTCTCTTCTTCAAGGTGTCAATCTTCATTACCCTACTACACAGAGAAGGAATACAAGTCATAGAATAACAACAAAAAATGACCACTACTTTAGAAATTGTATGAGACTTGTCAGAAACTCTGACTCATTGGAAAAGACCCTGATGCTGGGAGGGATTGGGGGCAGGAGGAGAAGGGGATGACAGAAGATGAGATGTCTGGATGGCATCACTGACTCGATGGGCATGAGTTTGAGTAAACTCTGGGAGTTGGTGATGGACAGGGAGGACTGGCGTGCTGTGATTCATGGGGTCACAAAGAGTTGGACACAACTGAGTGACTGAACTGAACTGAACTGAACTGAAAATTATCTTAGATAAATAACCTCTAACTTTCCAAAACAATATAAAGAAATCTATAATATTTAACTCATTCCACAGTAAATACACAGGCTTCCCAGGCAGTGCTAGTGGAAAAGAACCTGCCTGCCAGAATATGAGGTGCCTGACCCAGGGTTTGATCCCTGTGTCAGGAATATCCCCTGGAGCATGACAATCCAATCCAGTATTTTTGCCTGGAGAATCCCATGGACAGAAGAGCCTGGTGGATTACAGTCATAGAGTTGCAAAGATTCAGATATGACTGAAGCGTCTTACCACACACACACGCATGCATAAAAGAGTGAATAGCTAAGATGACTCCTGCTAGTTTGCATACAGTTTCAAGCAGAAGCTAAGAAATAAGGGGATCTCTCATTTAATATTACATGAAAGCCATTAACATCGAGGTTCAATTAAAAAAATAATCGTCCTGCATCTTCTGTGTTACCATTGCCCCTTCTTTATGGCATCACCCATTAGGTAAACCTGCCAATTCCTGGTAACAATCAGTGTATGCTCTTGTTTAAAAAACGACTTTGAGTAGATCAGTTAGCGATTTTCCTCTCCAGATAGCAACAATTTCGAGACAGATTGTGAAAGGGGATTCAATTATTTTTAATTAAGCCAGCTTCCCTCAGCCCCGTCACTGCCTCTAAAGTTTTCTGAGTGATCTGCTTGGCGACTTTGGTAGAAAAGGATGACTAAGAGCTTTGAAGATTTCATGCTATTACCTGAATTTCAAGGCACAAACATGATTATACTCTTCAGCTGTGAAACCACAAACACTCCATGTGTATAACTATGCTGATCTTTTGGATTCAATTAAAAAGATGATGGTACCTTGTTTTTATGAGCCACGTGGATGACACAGCCAATGATAAAGATATATAAACGCCCCTGTCCAAGAAGTGACATTCAGACTCAGACCTTCCCATCGAAACTCACATCACCTGCGAAGATGTCCTACAACTGCTGCTCTGGAAACTTCTCCTCCCGCTCCCTCCGGAACCACCTGCGCTATTCAGGCGCCTCCTGTGGCTCCTCCTTCCCCAGCAACCTGGTCTACAGCGCCGACCTCTGCCCTCGCAGCTCCTGCCAGCTGGACTCCTCTCTCTACAGCCAGGAGACCTGCTGTGAGCCCATCAGGACACAGACTGTGTTGTCCAGTCCCTGCCAGACGTCCTGCTACCGCCCGAGGACCTCCACGTTCTTCAGTCCCTGCCAGACGACTTGCTCTGGGTCTCTGGGCTTCGGTTCCAGTAATTTTCAATCTGTTGGTCATGTCTTCCCATCTCTGGGGTTTGGATCCGGTGGTTTCCAATCAGTGGGTCATAGCCCCAACATTTTCTCATCCCTAAGTTGTAGATCCAGCTTTTACCGTCCGACCTTCTCTTCTAGGAGTGGCCGGTGTCTTTCTTTCCAACCGACCTGTGGATCTGGCTTCTACTAATATCATACTTGAATACAATACCTACTACACCTAGAATTGTAATGCGATACTTCCAATACTGAGATCTACATATCTGTTGACCTTTTGTTTTACCTTTAGCTTATAAATTTGACTTCTCTTGTTACGTACTATGGATTAGGAATAATTTCAATACCAGTAACTGAAAATGTATTCATTGAAGAAAGGTGCCATAACTACTACCTTGTAGCTATATAGACATGTGATACTGAAGCACATTTATTTCCTGTTTATTTCTCCTGTTATTTCCCCAAATGCATCTATTTCAAATTTTACTAGTAGGGAAAACGTTTAAGTTTAAATAAAGTATGGTATATGACATCCATATATTGGTTTTATCATTTTGCTTGCTTCGTTTCGTCAGTGGGGGAGGGCATGACAGCCTACGCCAGTGTTCTTGCCTGGAGAATCCCACGGACAGAGGAGCTGGTGGGCTACAGTTCACAGGGTCACAAAGAGGCACAACTGAAGCAACTTAGGACATGTCTTCAAATCTAATTCTAAATATCTGGCTGTATATTTCTGCATCTTGTATTCATACTTTAAATTTTTTCAATTTAAAAAGTAAAATTGTTCAGTGTCCTTTAGGTTTGGAAGAAATTATTACATCTTTCATGTTTACTCCTTCTGTAACAGAAGGAGTAAATACATTCTGTTAATACGGTAAAATCTGAAATTACATTTTTAAGACTACATTTTAAGACTACTAGTAACTATGACCTTTGGTTTTGTAGGGGGTTAGAAACTTGTATATTTCTATATAAATAATTATAAATTATAAGGTATATTCAATTGACTACATCACATAATTTTGGAAGAAAGATTACTCATAGATAGATTCTAAAATAATATATTCAGTAAGAAGTTAGTGAGTTATATTTGGTGAGAATTTCAGTTGCCCCAGATTTCCTGCTTTCAAGCAAATGAAATGTCTAATTAATTAATGATTGAAAACATCTAATACATCCTCAATACTTATTAGAAGTAAGCCCAGCATTTTTTGTACAATCATTAACACAGTTGGTTTGCAACCACTTTTTAAGTTGTTCTGTTGATGAGATTAACTTAGAGAAAAAACAAACAAAAGGAAAATGAAACTCAAAAACAATGCAAACATTCTCATGTTAAAAGAGTTAACTAAATGTTTAGGCAGCTGATCACACCTGAGTCAGCAGTTGTGCTCCAAACTTTTATCCATTAAGTCAAGGACAATATTACTAAAAGGTACAGATGACCTAGATTCTCACCCACAGAGTAACCATATGTCTTGGTTTATTCTGTTTGTCTCAGCATCCAGTCCCACTTGGTAATTGTCTTAGATTTCTCACTTTTTATATGTAATGAATAATTGAGTTAACATAAGTATGATTGGTTTAGGAAACTTCCACTTTGCTTTTGCTATGGCTTCATCTAGTGGAGTGCTTGTAAGATGCATACAGGGTGAACAGTTTTTACTTTAACCGGTGTTAAATCTGAAGACAAGCCATATCCTATTCTTTGCTCTGCCTGAAAAAAGATGGAACTACTCCTTTTATTGCTGAGGGATCACAGAAAACACATTACACTTAAATACAGTGGTAGGACAACTCACATGTTCAAATCCTGGTGGAGGTTCATTTGTCATTTTCTTTTTTTAATATAAACTTATTTAATTGGAGGCTAATTACTTTACAATATTGTATTGGTTTTGCCATAGACTGACATGACTAACCTAGCCAGTACTGCTATGGCTATTTCCACATCCTGCAAGATGCAATAATATACCCCAAGCTACCAGTAGGTGGAGATAGTGGGAAATTTAGGATTACTGATTAGGCGTACATAAAACATGGGCATAAAACTGAGGGTGGTACTCAGCATATACTTGCTTCCCGGGTGGTACAATGGTAAAGCATCCCTCTGCCAATGGAGGAGGCCAAGAGACTCGGGTTAGACCCCTGGGATGGGAAGATCCCCCGGAGCAGGAAATGACAGCCCATTCCAATATTCTTGCCTGAAAACTATCCTATGGACAGAGGAGCCTGGCGGGCTACCATCCATGAGGCTGCGAAGAGTCAGAAATTACTACGTGCACAAGCACATAGCATATAAAGATTAATCTAAATGCTCTTGCTGCAGTGCCTTGGCCACATATAGTACTGCTTAAATCTACAACTATTTATTTTATTGTTTGGGAGAATTTTTATTTTTTTAGACTTTGCAAAAAAAATATCTTATTAGGAGCAATGAACTAAAGCTAAAAGTTCATATTTTAATTTAAAGGTGTGAATGCTTAGTTTCTATTCTTAAAGCAAGTTGATGGTGAAATATGACTTATGGTCATATATGGTGAAATATGGTGAAATATGTCAATTTCTTGACATTTACTCTCCACCACGGGGTCAGAAGTATCACTTACCAGATGAAAAGTCAAAGAGACAATTTTGCTGGAGAAGCATCAGTATCTATTTAAAAAGACAGAAGTTTTAAAAAGATTACTTCCAAAAATGATTATTTATCACTAGCAGTTGTGAAAACTCTGTTCATATATCACTCTGATGCATACATTTCATTTAGGTCAAATAATTACTCTAAATAATATTCACCATGTTAAATCCTAAGTTTTCTTGTACAGGTAAAACATACGCATGCACGCATGCATGTGTACGTTCACACACACACACACACACACCCAAACAACAAAAGCACAGATGAAGCAGTAGTTGATGATGTACTCTTCCATTAACGAAAGAAAAGCTTCACTAAGGATGAATGAAGCCAGTATTATGTCACTATTGTTAAATGCTTCAAGTCAAAAATGAATTAGTTCCAATAGTGATTTGATCTCTTCATCCAGTCCAAAGAGTCCATGTAAAGCTAAAGAAAGTTCATAATACTCTGGCAGCTCTAATGAAAAATTACTTAAAAAATTCAAATCGAAGATAAAATGACTGGTTGTCTCAGTAACAATAAAAACAAAAATTTTGCTGAAGAACCACATCATGGTAAAAATAATCAAGTAAGATCCCCATGAAGAAAAAATACAGTTGCAATTGCTGTAGATATATAACCACAATTGGATCCAAACATGCTGTAATATTCTGCTAGTCAAAGTAGGAGCTGTAGTTTTAAAGCATTTTTTTGTGTATACCCTCTTCCACCGCTGTTGTATTTTTATTTTCCTGGTGCCTTTTCTGTTGTTGGTTTTTACGTCATCAGCATGTTATTTTATATAACAAAGCACACACAGCGGGGATACGTTCTTCCATGCTTGATGTGAAGTCTTTATTCCACATCTATGTTACTTTGACGTCCAGTTACACTACTTTTCCCTCTCTAGGACTTCCCCATGATTCTATCCTGACTGACTCCTTGCTCCTCCAGTCTGACTCACCAAAATGGGAATGCAGTTTACAGATTAGCGAGATGTCATGGTTTGGCAATTTTACTTTTTTCTTTTTTTAATTTTCAGAGAAAAGCTTCTGGGAGTGACGGTGTTTATGTTGGGAGAACTCAGAGGGAAGAGAAGAAATCTGTCAAGTTATATAGAAATCACCTTTATCTCTTATTTAAAAAAAAATATTAGCAGTAAGCTCATCTTCAATTTTGGGGTTGCTGGTATTAAAATTATGTATATGTGACTGTGAAAGAGAGGTTTTTTGTGTGTGTGTTTGATTTGTTTTTTACTATTCTTATTCATAGTGGTAGTTATTGAGGAAGGGAACATTTTAATGTGACATCAATAATGATAAGTAAAGTGAATAATATAGGGTTTGTCATTGCACTCAGAATTTCTAGCAATATCTTCCTGAAGGATAATCATGTATTTCTCTTGGTCTATTATTAAGTATTATGGTTAATGCAAATCTTTTTAAGAGAAATTAGCTCATTTTTCCTTAACGTTCTTCTCCTAAACTCTACATTTATTTTTGTTTCTCTCTTTGTTATGAATACTACTCATGAGGCTAATGAAACTAGATCTAAAGGAGCTGAAGTCTATTCAGATAAAGCAATCTCTGTAGTAGGAGGTATACTCAAGGCTCTTGGTTAAAAAAAAGTAGGTTAAAAAAAAAAAGCTCAGGAAAGAACAAGAATAGGTTAATTCAAGAGATGGGATTCTACTAGATCTTTGATGAACAAACAGGCAAATTTATAAATCTTTTTTACTTTTCTTTCTCTTGCGTCTGGAAAGGTCTATAGCACATAATGCTTGTCTTTCTCACGAGGATGTTTGAGCATTAAATGCACATTGTGTATTGGGTACCCCTTGTACCCTCCGTTATATATGTGTTCTTCCAACTGTGATCCCAGACACAGCTACGGTGCCTGAAACAATTTCATGCAAGTTTCAACCCTCTTGCACTGATAGCATCACCCCTCCTGCATAAACAACATTTCTTTCACTCTCTACCTGGGCTCCCAGAGGTCACAGCCGGGAATACAAAAGGAACACACTGTGAATCCTCTCACATGTTTAATGAGGTTCCGGAAAATTAATACACAGCCCGGCAAAATTCCAGCAATGGGAAGCATAAGTTGATGGATAAATGATTCTCCCTGTTTGTTGATCAGATCCAGGGGTGGACAATTCCAAAATTATACCATATGTTTCTAAAAAGACCTTGAAAGACTGAGTCCTCATTGACCATCATAAAGTCAGCAACAACAACAACAAAAAATATGTTCCTTTGTAGGATTTTTTCTCTTTGATTCTTTCACCTTCCATAGTTTCCCATACTATTTGCCTGATGCATGCTGTGCACGCGTGTGTGCTAAGTTGCTTCAGCTGTTTGACTGTGCAATCTACTGGACAGTAGCCCACCAGTCTCCTCTGTCTGTGGGATTCTCCAGGCAAGAACTCTGGAGTGGGTTGCCATGCCCTCCTCTAGGGGATCTTCCTGATCTAAGTATCGAACCCATACCTCTTATGTCTCTTGCACTGGCAGGCAGGTTCTTTACCACTAGCCTCACCTGGGAAGCCCCAGTTGCCTGGTATCTTGTGACAAATACACAGTCTGTACTCACGATTTTGACTTCAGCTCTGTTTTAGGGGGAAAAGCATACAGCCTAAGACTAGAGGATACAGATGCTTATTCAACACTGCTCCATGTGCGTTGCTGTTAGAAATTCAGGTTGAGCCTTGAGGAAGCATCGGGAGGTTATCGCACATCTCCTTAACCCAGTGGGCTTCCCAGGTGGCACTGTCCATGCAGAGGACCTAAGAGACATGGGTTCGATCCCTGGGTCAGGAAGATCCCCTGGAGAAAGAAATGGAAACCCACTTCAGCCTTCTTGCCTGGAAAATCCCACGGACCGAGGAGCCTGGTGGGATACAATCCACGGGTTGCAAAGAGTGAGATACGACTGGAGAGAATTAGCACCCACTCCTTGACCCAGTTACTCCCCAGTTAAAATCACTGTGAATCTCTTTACTAATGTTCACAGGTACAGCTCAGTTAATGGATCATGCACTGGGACCAGGCTCAGGGAAGTATTACGGCACTTAACGCCTACCAACAGAGAACAAAGCATCTATCCTCAGAGTTGTTTAAAGGCTTATTTTTTTCTCTTAGCTGAAAATCTACATTCAGATACTAGACTTTCAGTATGTTTTTGGTCTACATATTATCTCATCTTGTAAATTATACTGGATTCTTATTGCCTGCATTTCTAGTTAAACACCAGTTTCTTTGTTTCCCACTATTAGCAGAAATCCATGCCTCCATCTTCAGGCAAATATCACTGATATTGAGGCAAATAAAATATGGGCCTCCAGGAAATAATTACTCCCACTAGGAAACATATGCAATGACAATGGAAATTTGCTAAAATCTTTCAAATGTGTGCTTTCACATCCAGTTTCAGAGGCACATTGATCTTTATTTAAAATTCCAGAATCCTGATTAAACTATAGGCAGATAATAAGACAAACAATACATTTCAATGCCAGATGATGTAAATTTATTAGATTAAAATTTTCATTTTCAAATGCTTTTCCATGAAAATCCAATAGTGTATTTTCAATCCAATAGTACACGTATTAAGACTTCATTATTGGTTTAATCACTAAGTTTAGAGTCCCTCAAAAGTTGGTGATGCAAGGAAATGATGAGTTAAGAATATAAGATGGGTGGTAAGTGTGAGAAGGAAAACGATGGCTATATTGAGAGAGACTTTGATCTCAACATGCAAAAGGATTTAGACCTTCAACAAATTGAACGATAGAAGCCAGATCCACAGGTTGGTCTATAACATGATGAATGGCAACTACTGGATGAAAAGTAGGTTGGACGGCAGAATCCGGATCCACAGCTCAGGGCAGGGAAGCCACAGATTCCATAGCCCAGGCGTCTGAAGCCAGGGGATCCACAGCCCACTGAGTAGCAGCTTCTGGATCCAGAGCTCAGGGAGCTGCAGCTGCTGGACCTGAAGCCCAGAGACCCAGGGAGAGTCGTCTGGCAGGGACTGGAGAACGTGGGGGTCCTCGGGCGGTAGCAGGACGTCTGGCAGGGACGGGACACCACACGGAATGTCTGGGTCCTGATGGGCTCACAGCAGGTCTCCTGGCTGCAGAGAGAGGAGCCCAGCTGGCAGGAGCTGCGAGGGCAGAGGTCAGCGCTGTAGACCAGGTTGCTGGGGAAGGAGGAACATGGGTATCGCCGGTAGCTCCCAAGGGAGCGGGAGGAGAAGTTTCCAGAGCAGCAGTTGTAGGACATGTTGACAGGAGATGTGAGTTCAGTTGAGTTGGCAGTGAGAAGATTCTGAATTTGAATGTCTCTCCTGCACTGTGGCATTTTTATACTTCCAGCAATGGGTGTGGCATACCAAGGGATCATGATTCCTACATGAGATTTCCTCTTTTGCATATGTGTAATTCAGTAGACTTCTCGGTAATTGCAGTTGCATACGAATAGTTTCTCGCATTTGTTTTTATGGATGCTGTAATTCTGTTGTCATAGCCAAAGCCAATGAACTACTGCTATGTCAGAAATGCTATGACTGTTTCCTACTAATGCACATCCCATCATGGCCAGGGAAGCGTCATGACCAGGAAAGCTTTTTTCTGATTTACGCTAACCCACTTCCTATGTATCTACATCTGGTTTTGCTGGTGACTGTTTTTCTCCTAAGAGTGTGGAATAAGATGGATTTTCCTCTGGTACAATGGATCAGAGGCACAGTTTTGAAGCTTTCCTGAAATGACCCACTTTGTCACCATTTACTCCCATTCTCCAAAATCACTCGGAGGTAATCTGTTATGGCAGCAATAGAAAATACACCAAAGATCACAGTTATACAGTATGCCTCTAATCCAATGGCGACCAAAAATAGATAAAATAAGAGACTGAGAGAGAAATGGCTAGGAACATAAAGACAGCTTTCTGTGTATGTAAAGATAAGCTGGCCAAAAAAAGAGGTTCAGCTGAAATAGTATCCAGGGGAGATCAATCTGGCCCATGTCTATTTAGTTAAGATGGAGACACTGGTATGGTGAGAGAAGGAAACAGTTGAAAGTGAAACACTGAGAAGGCTTAGGAAAAGAATTTTTTCTATTGTACTGATATTATTACCTATTCCTTAATGTCTTTATAATTAAAAATATCATAATTAGTACATTTTATGAATTTTGATATATTGTTCCTTTTGTCATCTGCTGAAGCTGCAGCTCCAATACTTTGGCCACCTGATGTGAAGCCCAACTTATTGGAAAAGACCCTGATGCTGGGAAAGATCGAAGGCAGCAGGAGAAAGGGATGACAGAGGGTGAGATGGTTGGATGGCATCATTGACTCAATGGACATGAGTTTGAGCAAGCTCCAGGAGATAGTGAAGGACAGAGGAGCCTGGTGTGCTGCAATCCATGGGGTCGCAGAGAGCTGGACATGAATGAGCAACTGAACAGCAATGCAGGGTTTCTATTGTCTTAGAATAGCTCTAGTTTTTCTCTGCATAGGCTTTGACTTCCCGGCATTTGCAGAGCTGCAGTTTTCTGTCTATATGTGAAGATTTTTTTTCCAGTTCTCTTTTCTTATGAAGGGTGTATAAATCTCTCTCTTTCTCTCCTCTTCCTGCTCTCACCCTACTGTTTTTCCTTCCTCCTTTTAATGTATTTAACTTAGATTTTCTCACTCTTCTGTTTTTCATATATATATATGTGTGTGTGTGTGTGTATATATATATATAGTTTCTCTTTAACTATAGAATAAAGGTTAAAAACAAAGTTTACTTAATTTTATCATATTCTGAATGTATAAATAGCTACTTTCAAAGTTCATTCACAAAATATTCAGTGTTAAAACTATATTCCAGACTATATAATAAATAAACTATATTCCAGACTCAAGCAAATGTAATGTTATGGTTGATAGCAATATGTTATTATTTTATTTTCTATAAACTTACCAAAAATAGTAACATTAAAAATACTGAATGTAACAAAATAAAACTGGAACAAAATATAGCACCAGAAAATACAATTTGAAATCCATAATCCATATAATAGTCTTGGGAAAATCAGACATTAAGCTACTTGTTATGAATTTAGTAATAGGAAACAGGGAAATATTGCTATCAAGGAATAGTTGTGTTTCAGAATTGAAGATAATTTGAGGATTTGGGGCAGAAGATGAAAACTAGACAACAGAATCTAACTGAAAGTTTATAAATTTATAAAATAATAACTGATTTGGAAAAACTATTGAAATGTTTTATCAGTAGATTAAACATTGCCTAAAAGATGATGCTTTTGAACTGTGGTGTTGGAGAAGACTCTTGAGAGTCACTCAGACTACAAGGAGAGCAAACCAGTCCATCCTAAAGGAAATCAGTCCTGAATGTTCATTGGAAGGACTGATGCTGAAGCTGAAGCTCCAATACTTTGGCCACCTGATGCAAAGAACTGATTCACTGGAAAAGACCCTGATGGGTTCATTGGGAAAGACTGAAGGCAGGAGGAAAAGGGTATGTCAGAGGATAAAATGGCTGGATGGTATCACCTACTCAATGGACATGAATTTGAGCAACATCTAGGAGTTGGTGATGGACAGGGAGGCCTGGTGTGCTGCAGTCCATGGTGTTGCAAAGAGTCGGACATGACTGAGTGACTAAACTGAATAGACAGTTAGTGAATTAGAAGATGGAATAGAGGGAAATCCCAAACTACAGGGTAAAAAAGACAAAAAGACTGAAAATAGAGAAAAGACTATGAGAGGCATATATATATAGAGAGAGAATTTATAGTGTATTTTGCTTATAATTGGAATCTCAGGAAAAAAGGAGATAAATATGGGATGGAAACAGTATTTGAAGAGATAATTGTTTCACTGTTGTTGTTGTTCAGTCACTAAGTTGTGTCTGACTCTTTGTGACCCCAAGGACTGCAGCGTGCCAAGCTCCTGTGCCCTCCACTATTTTCTGGAGTTTGCTCAGATTTGTGCCCATTAAGTCGGTGATACTATCTAACATATCTAAACAATAGTTTAGGATTTATCAAAGTTGATGCACCATCTGATGTGTGAAATGGTATTCAAGAAATGAGTAGAACTGGCCTAAGGTTGAGGTGACTGAAAGATGGGTTTTAGCAGAAATGACTCTGAGACAGACCTAAAGGTACAAAGACTTATGGGGAAATGGCTGTGAGAGAAGAGTGTTGGGAAGAGGGGAAGAAGGCTAGGAGACTTGTCAGGCTTCCTTGAGAGTCTCATCAGGGTGGAGAAGATAGACAGGCATGCTCCAGGCAGCCACAGATTGTGGACAGTTTCTCAAGACCATTGGAGATCCTCAATTGTTGGCCAGCAAAGGATCCCATGTGTCCTAAGAAGGATGCCTTCTAATATCTCTCCTATCATTGCCTAGGAGCAGCCCTATAGAGAGAGAGGCTTTCCTACCAATGCAGTATTAGATTTTGGACCATAGCATGGAGTTGCAGGAGCAGGGAGCGGGGGGATGTCCTTGGCCAATCAAGCCTCTTGTAGATGGAGATCTGAAAAGGAAATTCTTAGGACTTCTACATGTACAGATGCCAACCTGTTAAGACTACAGGTCTCATATCAGGTCCACTGAATCTGAAACTCAATTGTTTCCTTCCCTCATCTCAATATTTCTTAGCTCTTTGATGCTTTTCATAAGGGTCCAAACTGGCCTTCCCTTGTGACTCTGTCTTGGTTCTGTCCCTCACTGTCACCAAGTATCCAAATAGATACACAGGTTTCTCTCTGGTTCTAACCATCAATGGTACTCAAAATAATGTCCTGGCTGATAATTTTTCCTCTCCATTGTATCTGAGACACATGCATAACAGAATGCAATAGATGGACAATAATGGAGGATGAGAAGACATCAGTTCAGTTCAGTCACTCAGTCGTTTCCGGCTCTCTGCGACCCCATGAACCGCCAACTCCTGGAGTTTACCCAAACTCATGTCCATTGAGTCTGTGATGCCATCCAACCATCTCATCCTCTGAAAAGACATGGGAACAAGTAAAGTCAGTATTTTTAATAGGTTCTTCATTCAAGCCAAAGTTATACCTCTGATCCATTGACAAAGAAGAAAAATAATTTTATCTTATGAAACTTCCATTTGAGAAAAGCATTTTCTCATCATTGGCAGAAGCAAAACACCCAAAGATTATGCCAAGAGGAAAAGGAAAGCCTTTCTTGACTATGATGGAATAAGCATTAGTGTGAAACAGTCATAGCATTTCTAACATAGGTGTAGTTCACTGGCCTTGGCTATAACACCAAAATTATAGCATCCATAAATACAATATGAGGAGAACCATTCCAACTGCAATTATAGAGAAGATTGCTAAGTTACACGCATGTAAACAAGGGAACACAAGTATGGAAAAAATGACCCTGTAGGTTACCACACTTCCTGCTGAGAGTATATATAAGCACATCTGTCCAGAAGGCTACATTCAAACTCAGAATCTTCTCGCTGTAGCTCAGCTGAACACGCATCTCCTGTCAACATGTCCTACACCTGCTGTTCTAGAAACTTCTCCTCCTGCTCCCTCGGGGACCACCTGCGCTACCCAGGCACCTCCTGTGGCTCCTCCTTCCCCAGCAACCTGGTCTACAGCGCTGACCTCTGCCCTCGCAGCTCCTGCCGGCTGGGCTCCTCTCTCTGCAGCCAGGAGACCTGCTGTGAGCCCATCAGGACCCAGAAGTTCCGTGTGGTGTCCCGTCCCTGCCAGACGTCCTGCTACCGCCCGAGGACCCCCACGTTCTCCAGTCCCTGCCAGACGACTCTCCCTGGGTCTCTGGGCTTCAGGTCCAGCAGCTGCAGCTCCCTGAGCTCTGGATCCAGAAGCTGCTACTCAGGGGGCTGTGGATCTCGTAGCTTCAGATGCCTGGGCTATGGAATCTGTGGCTTCCCTTCCCTGGGCTGTGGATCCAGATTCTGGCACCCAGTTAATTTTCCCTGCCGAAGTTTCCATTCATCTTGCTACTGACCAACCTGTAGATCTGGCTTCTTCTGATTGACTTGTAGAAGAGTCAAATTCATTTGAGAAATTTAGATTCTGTAACCTGATTATCTGTTATCTTAATCTGCTCCATTGAAAAGTATTCTAATATTTCCTGATCACTGGCAATTCTTTACCTCTCTAACCCTCAGACTGGGGGTGATCAATTAACTCTATCAACCTACAAAGTTAATGAAAAATTCAAATTGAATGGTAGATAGAATTTACGGTTTTGCAATTCTCCCAAAGATAGACGGAAGGTCAAATAATTTGATTTTAATAAACTCTTTATTCTGCCATCCAAATATGCTGTGAATGTTGTTATTTATTAGCAATGTGTCAACTAAGATTTGTATTGTCATTGCTTCTATTAGTTGGCTTTGGAAAGCTCAGATTTAGGGAGCTATGCCCTAATTTTGCTGGTGCTCAGTCATTCAGTTGTGTCCAACTCTTTTCAACCCCATGGACTGTAGTCTCCTTTGTCCACAGGATTTTCCAGACAAGAATACTGGTTTTTGTTACTGTTCAGTCACTCAGTTGTGTCCAACAGAGTAGGTTGCCATCTCCTACTCCAGACAGTTTTCTTTCTTTAACCAAGAATTTTCCCTGGATGCCTGCAGCTTCTACATACAGCCTTACTCTAAAAGAAAATCTCAAGAGATTTGAATACCTTTATTCACACGGTAAAAACAGACCATACAACTTGAAAGGCATCATGTACAAGAGTGGTTTAAAGAATACAGGAATAAAATGTAGGCTTCTGTGATGAGACCTGGGCATGAAGGGTATTAAAATGGAAGACTAGTGTGTGGCTGTACACTTTTAGAGAAAAGAACACCTCTGAGCTTTAGATAATCACCTTGCAGGAAGTTTTCCCTCTTTTTTTTTAATTGACTAAATCCCTGTATCCCAATTACTGTTTTCAATCTGCTCGAATTATCACCATTTGTATAAGAAGACAGGCAACAAACTTAGATGAGAAGGAACTAGGCTCAGCAGGTGTGAGGTTGCACCTGGGTTCTTAAGCAACAGAGAAACAGAATCTAACTGCACACAAGAAAGCTTTAATATCATCAAATGAATGTTTCAATTATATATTGAAATAAAATTGGATATTCTTTTTTAAGTGTCATTCTTCTATCTTACATACAAGTGTTATATAAAGTAAAGTAGTAACAGAGATAGTACAATGAGAACTGAAAATTTAATCTTTATGCAGAACAAGTAGCATTCTATTTAGGAAAAATAAATATTTTCCTATTCTTTGTAAGATTTTCAAACATTCCTGAAATTAAGAAGTTAGATGCAGAATATGAGAGGTTCATCAAAAATCTAGTCTTATAAACATTTCTCAGTCTTCTCATCATATTCTGTTTACTTTTTTTACTACTAACATGATAAAATATAAAATAAGAAATGAGTTGCAGTGTTTATTATATCCAAGCTACTCATACTACAAAGGTGGAAATTGAAACACAGAATAGTTAAATATCTTTTTACAAGATTACACAGCAAGTTATTGTAGGGTCATGGAAGTAGAATGACTTTATTCCAACTGTACCATTCTCTCTCATTTCTTCCTTCATATGCTCCTTCTCTTTCTCATCTTCTTATCCTTCTTCCTTCTCCCACCCCATGTTTACAGAATAGCTACAGTGTTTGTATAACTAAAAACATGAAGGAATAATGAAAAAAAAGGGGGAAAAGTCATCAGCCATTGAAATATAAAAATTTAAATGGCAAACAATAAACTTCTATAAACAGTCTTGCTCATGAATTTTAATGATCCAAGTTGGTCTCATGTGCCTAATCTCCAATCAAAAGAAATAGTCAAATTTCATATCTCAAAACATAAGCAATAGCAGAGCACTCATGGGAAACACCTGCAGATTTTTGGCCAAGCCGACGATGCTTTGTTAATGTCTCCAAATTTGAGACTCAGGAGTGGAAAGTTTTCTGACTTTAGGAATATACTAATATCTTAGTTGTTTTATAATTGCTATAACAAATTATTTCAAATAAGCCATATGCTGTATATAATATATGGCTTAATAGCATTTTATTGTAATTCTGTAGGACAAATGTCAGACAGTCTCACTCGACTAAAATCATGGTGCTAGCAAGGCTTCATTTCTTTCCAGAGGATCTAGGGGAAAGCCTATTTACTTGTCTTCTTTTTGTTTGTTTGTCTTCTAGAGGCCACCCAAATTCTTTAGCCTGTGCTCCACTTCCTCCGAAGTACTTCCTCCAAAGTCAGCAATGGTGGGTAAAATCCTCCTTGTATTGATATGGCTCTGGTCTACTCTTCTGCCTTTCTCCTCCATTTTCAACAATGCTTATAAACACATTGGGTTCACCTGGTGATATCTCTATTTAGTATCAACTGATTAGCAACTTTAATTCCATTACTACTTTCATTACTCTTGCTATATAACATACCATATTCATAAGATATATGAATATATTTAAGGGGCCATTATTCTCCCTATCAAAACTAATGAGCAAATTTATAAAAATAACTCAAAGATTGATTGAGTGTAAATAGTGATACAATGAGATCATAAGCAATCACTAAAATTCAATGGTGAAGACAATGAATTTATAACACTACAATTATGCCTGAAGTTAAGTATAGTATCCCATTTCAGGTTGATAGTCAAAATAAGAAAACAGTATTATTTTACAACAGGAAACACATAACTCCTGAGCTGGTATTTTACCATTACCACTAGCGAAGCTGCATCGTCCTCTGTTCCAAATCTCTGGCATTATAAACTTCCCGGAGTACAGATTTTATTCTTTCTATATTTCATCACTTAATTGTAGGACAGTGAATAGCAGAGTGTCCATTCAGATTTCACTAACTTAATCCTACTCTACACAACTAGGCGCAGACCGGCTGGCACTTGTCTGGCTTCCAGCTTCCTGATGCCTCCTGCTGCGTGCTTTCACAGATGCCTAACACCGTGGAGATGCGAACACAGGGTTTTGTGTCCCAAGCTGCTGCCCACACAACTAAAGTTCCAGAAACTGCTGATTATCTGTCTACCAACTTGTTTCCAGTTCTGATTTCTGAGAATAAATATATCCATTCTCCCAGGAAATTTTCTCATGAGTCATTTTTAGGCATCGATTTCCATTTCAACAATTTCCATTTATTAATAGTTACCTCGTTAGTGATTACAATGAACAACTGTATCCTCCCCAAACCCCTTGTGCTCTTTTTTTAAATTAGTCACACCTCCGAACACATAGCTAAACGTTTGGCCAGTATTACTATTTTTCACAATATATTCATTAAATCTTTACTGTGAGCCAAAATCTGTGCTATGGAAATATACTGTTGAATATATTTCTTTAATAAAATTATTTTGTGTATTACTCCATAATGAAAAATGAAATACAGAGTGAGAAATGTATGCTATTTGTTCTAACTAGAGTGAAAGTCTAACAGAGAAAGTGAATGCTATATAAATAATGAGTTGTGAATAAGTCCTTGATGACACAGTAATATATGTTAAGCAACATATACCTTATAAGTAAAGAAAGAATTCCCAGAGAAAGAGCATTTGAAATGGGTCTAAAGTATAAGTACAGAGAAAAAAAGGTTAAAAATAAAAAAAAGTAGAGGATAGATACGTGGGACATGGAGAACAAGTGTTTTGTTTTTGTTTTTTATTTTTATTTTTTGATTTTTTTTCTCCATTTATTTTTATTAGTTGGAGGCTAATTACTTTACAATATTGTAGTGGGTTTTGTCATACATTGACATGAATCAGCCATGGACTTACATGTGTTCCCCATCCCGATCCCCCCTCCCACCTCCCTCTCCACCCAATCCCTCTGGGTCTTCCCAGTGTACCAGGCCTGAGCACTTGTCTCATGCATCCAACCTGGGCTGGTGATCTGTTTCACCCTAGATAATATACATGTTTC